TGTACTGTATAAGCAGGATCAACTATATCATTTTTAGTCCTAGGACCCGATCAAGCAACAATAGCTCTGTTTATTTGATTTTTTTATATGTGCACCTCTGACACGTAGAGCACCTGACAAATAGCCAGTGCAGGCAAGTTTGCCTCGTAAAAACAATGTAGCTGGTAAATCCAATTGTGGTCGAAATTGCTCAACCACAATGGACAAATGAGTAATTGAAATAAACAAATACTCCAACAAATATCTTACCTTGGCCTAAAAATGTGCGAAAACCTTCGATTGATCAAACAAAAATGAAATTTGCGAAACCCTTCAAATGGAAATGAAATCTTGAATTGTTTTGAATTCTTGATAACTTCCACATTTGGAAATTAAAAGATCTGCTTCCATGCTTTTTTTGTTTTATTAAATTTTAAGTATAGAAATTTATAAGCAATTTTTACAGATTAATTTCTCCGTCCTGTTCAAATCACAATGGTTTATGTACATGTTTTGTTTTTGCCTCTATTTTTCAACACTTTACCTCGGTTTTGTCGGACTTATTCAGTGATCTGGGTTTCTCCTCCCAGCTTGACAAATTTAACTTATCCTGCTGCCATATTTGGAAACTGGATGGAACTATGGAATGTTAATGCCATATTTGGAGAACCGCATGCAACAAACATTTTTTTTGCCTGTGCTGCTGTCCTGGAAAGGTTGTGTGTAATAAATTTGGGAAGTCAAACTTCATCTCATCATGATTTGTCTTTATTGTGTGATTTACTATCGTGAAGCTCTTTGGCATCATTACTAGTGGTGTGTAAAGCAATTCATTAACAAAATACAGTGTAATGCTTTAAATTAAAAGGGAATGCTTTGCTTTCCAGTGCTCTTGCCAAATTTCCTTAGGAAAAGGTTAAAAATTCCTTAGATTTCCTCAAGATTCCTTAAAGTGCTACTGCAACGAAATTTTCGACCCCTTTTTTTTGGCTTAATTGAAAGTACTAACCTTCCTGATTTGAATTGTGGTAACAGAATTTAAATTGACCTTATAAAAAGGATTTTATAGCTTCTCAAAGTTGCGATTTTTGCTATTTCCTGTGCGAACTTTTGCTCCGCCATATTGTGGGTTTGTGACGTAGAAAAGAGTACCGATTTTAACACGGCGTCTAAAAGAACTAGTGTTAAGCTACCTCGTGGAGGAAGGCGCTGTGTTGCCGGCGGTCCAAACTTAGTGAGTTGCTCCAATAGTCAACACACTGAAGGAATATCAATACATCTGTTTCCTAAAGAAGAAACAGATCCTCAAAGGCGAAGGAAGTGGGTGAATTTTGTCCATAAACATCGACCTGACTTTAACGCTACGGCAACATCGTTTTTATGTTCGGCACATTTCGAAGATTCGTGCTATAATGTTAATCTTGCCTTAGCAAGATCACTTAATATGAAACGATTGTTGAAAGAAGATGCTGTGCCTACAATTGATGTGGCGGGAATTGTACAACAAGTAGAAGAGCAGCTAACAGATAGAAAACGAAGACAGGTCTGTAATAGTGTAATTAATGTGTGTCGCACCCGGCCATTGATTTTGAATTTAAATATTATGCGAAAATGTAGTGACTAATGTTAACAAAATATATTTGCATATTCTATTTATTAAGATAATTCGTCGCAGTAAAAGATTTCACCTGTAAAGCTACCATTTCCCCCAGCAAAGAGCGATGGCAAGATTCTAACAAGTCCCACTGTTGCTGATGATACTTTATCACTGACTTTATGCGACACGTCCTACGATAGTGACACTGAGCTGTTTGAGCTCGATCTTTGTGCTAGTACTCCTAATTCGTGCACATCGTGTAATAGCTTGAAGAAGAAAATCAAAACCCTTCAGAAGACAATCAGTTGGTACAAAAAGACAAAAGCGACCCTAAAGAGTAAAGTTCAAAGATTGGAAGCCGAGTATATGAAACGAACAAACATCTCATCAAATGTTAGTGCGGCAGCTATGAATGAAGGCGAGAGTGATAACGACAGCGAAGAGGAGTATTTTGATGATGCTACTTCGATGGATTATTCATCTTTGGAAGAATCCAGCCAATCTGAGATGGACAAAGATGTTACAAAAAACACTGTCAGGTAGGCACTCTCAACAATGTGTGAATTTTATGATCAGAGAAGTGTTTATATTAATCAAAGGAAGACTGCAAATATAGGTATAACTATATACCTATATTTATATTATTATTTATATTTTTTGTGATAGTGTCGTTGAAGGCACCAGCCCATACAATGAACCAATGTTCCTGGTGTTTTACAATTCACTTGTGGAGTTATTAGGAAAGTTCTGCTTCAACTGCAAGGCTGAAAATCCAAAGGTTCAGGTGAAGAGGATTGGGTCAATGGCTACTGTTGTTCAGGCTTGTAGTAAATGCCTTGTGGAAAACTTTACATGGAGAAGTCAACCTATGGTAATGGGAAGATATCCAGCTGGAAATATCATGACAAGTTTTGGTATCTTAATGTCTGGAATCAATATCAGTCAAGCAATGTTGATGTTTAGACACATGAATCTTGCTGCAGTAAGTGTGAGGTCGTACCACCTACATCAAAGCATGTTCTTATTCCCTGCCGTTTTAAAACATTGGGAAGGTTATCAGTCTGGTTTAATGGAGGAAGTAAAAAACAGTGAGGAAGAATCTCAGACTTGGTCAGGGGATGGACGCTTTGACTCCATGGGTCATAGTGCTAAATATGGTGTGTATACTATGTGGAGCAATACCACCTCAAAGTTGGTCCACTTTGAATTACTTCAGGTATAACTCCAATTTTGTATGCCTTAATTTGTGCAATTTTTAACCTTCTAAGCATTTGAAAACACATAAAAGTCTATGATAACATTCACTAAATTCAGACCATTTATTTATCTATACAGGCAAATGAGGTTGGCAGTAGCAATGCTATGGAATTGGAAGGTGCAAAAAGATCATTTAAATTCCTACAGGATTCTGGTCTTCAGATGGATATTTTCATTAGTGACCGGCATAAAGGAATTGCGAAGTGGATAAGAACAAAACAGAAAGGGACAAAACACTTCAATGACATCTGGCATGTAAATAAGAGTATAAACAAGCAACTCAGGAAAGCAAGCAAAGAAAAGGGATGCAAAATAATAAAGATTGGCTAAAAGGTGTTCGCAGGCATCTTTATTGGAGTGCTCAAACCACTATCCCTGGTTTTGAGGCTCTTATCGTTGCCAAATGGAAGTCTACTGTTGGACACATGGCTGGAAAACATGAGGATCACCCAGATCCCTTGTTTCCATCCTGCGGGCATGGTGAAATAGAAGAACAAAAGTGGATTCCTATAGGTATGCATAAAGCTTATTCAGTTTAGTTTAGATTTTGAGCATTATTGTAAACAACTAGTGGAAATGTTTATCATTAGCTGTTTCAGCTAATAATATGATACAACAACCCTTATATCTTTCAAGGTACGGTTGCCAACGACCGCATTCGTGCAATTCTGTTAAAGCCACGCATCCTAAAAGACATTGCAAAACTGTCACCTGATGGCCAGACCAGTGGCATTAACCATTGGCATCCAAAAATGACTCAATTTTCATGGCTGGGAACTTTTTGCAGGTGACTATTTGTTTGCATAAAAAACACACGGTGGACATTGGCAGCAAATTCAAATGAGTGCATTTACTTATATACTTTACCTCACACTTAAGGCATATAATTGCCATTCTTCATTTTAATGAGAATGTGCATCGTAAGGCAAAGAAGACAAAGGAAGGTCATACCAGTTACAACATCCACTTCCCAAAGTATAAACTGGGTGAAGAAGTTGTTCGTGAAGTGTCTGTAAAACCTACTTATGGTAAGCTTTTCATTAACCTATATATGCTGCTGTTTAGTTGCCAAATGTTTTTAATGGATTGTATATTATAGAATATGTCAATGCTGTTAAGAGTTTGCTATTCACAACCTCAGAGAAAGATCTGTCTGACACAGTTGGCAAGTATAAAAAGAAAGTGCCTGAACCTTTGTGCAAGCAATTCACAAATAGAAGGTCCAAGGAAGATGCCATAAAACGTCATGAAGAGAGAAAAGCATTTGATGGCCATGCACTTTTTCCTACCTGTGAGTGTATTTAATTAAGCATGCAATGAAAGCAAATATTTTATTATTACATTACTATATTTCATTACTATATTCACATTATAGTGGAAGAACAAATTCAGCAGCAAAATGACTTGGTTGTTCAAGAAGAAAACATGCAACAACAGTCAAGTATTCACAGATGTACAAAGTGTAAAGCCCCTATGAAAGGACATAAACGTGGCCAATGCAGTATTTGAGTGGCAATATAGGTTTCATGGGTGGTGGTCAGATTTTGCTTCGGCCGATCTGAAATGGAGATGTAAGGTGCCTCCTTCCCTCCACCAACCTGGGGGATCACCTTGGGCAAGTGATAGTACCCTCCAAGCCTCCCTGCCAGGGCACAGGCATCTCCATGCTGGCTAACTTTTGTCAAGTCAATTATGATTAGGTTTGTATAGTCAAACAAAAATATAATTGATTTTATGTACTCCAATAAATTGTATTTCTATTTATAAAAAATGCAATTGTTTTTTATATAGATTGTTTTGTAATTCTGTATGGTCTTGTTTTGGTGATCAGCTACCTTGGTGGAACTGCCTACAAACCCCACTTAATTAAGGTGATGTACATATTTCTATTTACAAATGTTATTTTGTTTTGACATACCACATGGAATGGTAATGATTATTTGAAGTATTTTGTAGCTCTTTTGCTAACCAATTTTTTTTTTGAGGGTAAATGATGATGGAAACCTAACTGTTGGTGATTAAACAACTCTATTTTGAGTAAAAGCAATTGCACTAACTGCCAAACACCATAAACTTTAATAATGTTTATTGGTTTATGTATAGTATTGTAGTGCAACATTTTTAATAAAGATACATTTCATTACTGATTTATTTGGATTTTTTTCTGCTACATACGTTGTTCAGCTGGGGTATAACCTTTGGTGTCTGGTGTTGGATATTTCTTCCTAATGAGATGGTAAACACATGCTGGTAAAGGCCTTGTGTTTTCCCACCCCAATAGACCACACATCCATTTAATTAGCCACCTGTAGGCAACAGCTCTCAAATATCTAAATATATCATATTATGACTGTTGAGTATAGGGGAGGTGATTTTTAAAAAAAACAGTAAATTATATAATAAACAGGAATCTCACTCACTGATTTAATGATTGGGATCCACGACGACGGTATGACCGACCATTTCGATCTCTAAGCAGTGGTCCAACATTCTCAAGAACAGTTTGATAGGTCATTGGGCCAAAATCTTCATGTTGGGTGATGCATGTAATTTTTTCAATGCTGCCATCAAATGTCATGATACGCAAGGCTGGTGTCATCTCCTTGCAGCATCTATATTCCATAGCACCATCCAACAATTCAATTTGGCAACATTTGCAACTGCACCTAAATAAAATTTCGATTTTATCTTATTATATTTATGTAGCAAGATTAGCATAATGTTAAAAAAATACAATCTAATTATAACAATGCAATTTATGTCTATCATATTTTCCACATTACATTTGAATTTTGAATTACTAAACAGTAATTGTATGCCATGTAAGAAATGATTTATATTATAATATATATATCGACTCACCACTGCTCTAAAGGTATTCTGCCGTCAAGTCTTTTTTCCAATGTCGCAGGCAGTAATCCATCTGGATCTTCAGTAACTAAATCGGTATTTTCCTCTGGGTCTGCGAGTGGTTCATCGTCGTAGGCAAGACTATACGATTCGACATAACCCATTGATCCCGAGGAGCTTGTGTCACTATCATCAAACGCGCTTTTAGACTTACTCGAATTTTCTGATAAACTCTCGTTTCTTTTGGACTCGTTACTAGACATTCTTGAATGTATACCAGGTAAAGGGTATATTTACAGATTCAAAAATAAGGTTTTCTATTCGGATCTTACGTCGCGCTATACAAATTGCTTTATGGCTTCTAGAATCGGTACTCGTTATGACGTCACACGAAGCAAACATGGCGGCCAAAAAAGTTCGCATATGACATCGATGTTTGAAGGCGAAGTTAGTCAACTTCCACTCAACGGACAAAAGTGATATATACATCAAATTGCTTCTAAAAGTCCGAACAATTTTTTAAGGCAAAAAAAAGGGGTCGAAAATTTCGTTGCACTAGCACTTTAACAGTGACATGTGCTAGACATTTTGATTATCAAGTACACAAGTTTTTGCATAATTTTTTTTAAGTATTGCTGAACCTCTAGGAAAAACTGCTGACTTGTTCTACAGAGTTGAATATCAACATATTCACATGCTGATATGCCTAGAAAATTCTCCTACACTTGGTGTAGATTGGGATTGTGACATTGCTTCATTCATTGATAATCACATGTGAAAAACCAACTAAGAATCAAGAATTACTTACACTGGTTAACAGGCAGGTTCATACACATTGTCACACTTGTTGAAAGAAATCCAGAAGCATATGTTGTTTTTATTACCCACAGCTGCCAATGAGGTAAACAAGAATACTATATCCTCTAGATGTGGAAGACAATGAACTTGAACAACATCATATATATATGATAACTGCAAATTTATAAAAAAGCATCTGAACGATATGAAAAAGGGAGAGAATATTACATGTGACCAGTTATTCGTTGATCTTAAACTGACAGAACAGAATTCTTTCTTAGCTGTTCAATTCAGCTTCAAAGCACCAACAATATTCCTAAGGCGAAAAAGCAATGTACATTGTGTCAAATATATCCAAAGCACAAAAAGGTATGAGTGAGCTGTTAAGAACTGCTTGTGAAGAAGCAAGAAGGGGAAACTCCAGTAATAAACAACAAGTGAGAGATATTGGAAATAAATTTTTAAACAATGTTGAAATAAGTGCCCAAGAAGCAGTCTACATAGTTTTGCAACTTCCAATGAGAAAATCATCTCGTCAAGTTGTGTTATCAACACTTCACCTCCTGAGGATAGAGTACATCTACTTAAACCAATGCAAGAAATTAATAATATGGAAGATGACTGTGAAGAGATTTATGCATCTGGCTTAATAAAGAATTATACAAAACGACCAGCAAAACATGATAATTCATCACTTGCTGATTGGGCTGCATGGTATGACTGTTATAATAAGCCATACATCAAACCATCTTGTGAGTTAGATATAGATGACAATCCACTTAAGACAATTTTTTATCACAATGATGATGATTTTGAAGAAAATGAAACTATGCAGCAGAGCAAGAATAGGGTGAAAGCCAGAACTGTTTGTTTTAACAAGAATATTGATTCTGAAAAACATTACCCTGTGAATTAATCATCTTATTTACACCATGGAGAAATGGAACAACAGGCATATTTACAATTTGTTCTTTATGTGTTCGACATTTATTAATAATGGTGCAAGGATGTAACACAGCTTTGTAGCTCCAACACCGCCGATTTACGCAAAAGAATTGCGCTATCGTACATAAAATTTTATATGGTACACCGCCCAAGGCAAAAGACAGGAGAAAGCTCGGTTTGACTTTTTTACGGTAACGTGGAAAATAAGAGCCCTTTGACCTTTGAGGAGATTGATCAGAACATTTTAATTAAGGAAGAAGAGATTGTGAGCAGTTATATTGATATCAACAAAAGTTTTGACTTTTGATGTAAAACAGATTATCTGTTGTGGGACTTGTGGCTCATTGCTTGAAGTAAGACACAATAAGTATATCTGTGCGCCAGTCAAATTAGTATACCAAAACTAGCAGGACATTGTCTGCAAGATATCACCGTCATAAAGTTTCATCAATGTTTTGTAATGAAACAATAGAGAACATGAGAAATGTATCACACTGTTGATTAAACCAAGTACTTTCAATATATTTTTTATTTCTCCAAGAAATAGTAACTTGATATTTATGTGTTTGTACACTAACAGATTCTGGAAGTATGACCAAATCACAAGAATCGATTGGGACCTATTAACTTGCTTCAACACCTTCAACTTGGCAAACCCGATCCACACATCCACATTAAAAACAAGCAAAACCATGTTGCAGACTTGTGACAAACCCATAAAAGGTCATTGGAAGATTCTGAACTGTTTTTGCAGGAAAAAATAATCAGTTATTGAATAATGTATATATGTAAATATTTTATTGGTTACGGTGGCCCAGAGGTGCAAAACACAAATGCAAATTCAAAAACACAAACGCAAATTCAAAAACATAAATGCAAATCATGAAAGCACAAATGCAAATTCAAAACAGAAATGCAAATTCAAAACACAAACACAAATTCAAAACACGAACGCAAATTCAAAACACAAACGCAAAACTAACAACATGAACGCAGAGAAAAAGGAAGTACAGACTGGTACAGACATACCCTATCAGTAAAAGGAAGGCTATTTTCGCTGAGTGGAAGCCATGACAAACACGTGATTCTTCCAATCTGGCTTGTATCAAATAATCAAATTTGCAAATAAGGTAAGCTTTGATTTTAAAAAACCCTTAAAAGTTATCCCCACCCCCTAACAAGGATGTCCCCACCCCGGAAAAACGACCCTGGACCCCACCCCGGAACAAATTGTCACTGATTCTAACAACCGTCTTGTGTGTCAAACGGGAAAAAATTCAAGCAATTTGTTAAAAATTTAATATCAACCATTTAAATTACACAACACAAATTTTAGTGCTGAAGAAGGTGCTGAGTACACTAAAGATCTGTCAGGCCAGTTGCTAGAGCCTTGTCAAGGTCATGCCCAACTAAATGCCAATTAAGTAAATATGTTAACACTTACCAACAAGACATGATCGTGATGGACGCGGAACTTCAAAGTCAGTCTTGCTTTCATCTGAATCTAACACTTCGATAATATCTTAAATAAAAAAGTGTTCAATCTTAACATTTATTGGTCAACTGAAGTTAAATTGAATTCGATTAACACATTCAAAGAGGATAGAATTGAAATAATACCTGTATTCATTCTTTCACCGTCGCGAAATATGGAAATATATACAAAATCAAATAGACAGCCAAACACGTGCGCGCTGCTATTCGGTCATATATTGGTTGTCGAAGATTGCTTGATAGTCGTCATATTCGGGCGGACGTCGTTCGCTGGTCGTAGCAGGTCGTTTATATTGGTCCTTGTAGGTCGTTTGTTGGTCGTTGTAGCTCGTTTGTTGGTCATTGTAGGTCGTTCCTTCATTTAGTAACTACGAGTTAGTTCTCTAGTACTTTAGTTAGTTCTCAAACTGATCTTTTAGAAGGTGTGAAAATTCCCTGTTTTGGCGATGAGTTGACCCAAGTAAGGTTTGCTGGGGCACGAGATCTTTGCTCTGGATGCCATACACCCAAACAACGACTGGATCATTTGTACTCGTTTCACATTGTTGGATGGCATGCTAAAAGAAGTTTCTTAAAGGTAAATTCTTGGTCATGGATATGATTTTCCTGTTGCAAAATGGTCTCACATTACTTTTTTATTTCATTCACACTACCTGCAGTTTTTTATAATACTGAAAGGTTTTAAAATACATTTTTAACAATTTTTTTTGTTTTTGTTTTAACCTAACATACAAAAACCTCAAAAAAAAGCAATCTCAGGTTTTTCAGGAAGAATTAACCAAAGCTAGATTTGATTTTTGGTAGTTTAGCTCCTTGTGGACATATGGACAAGATCTCTCTTGCTTATCATTGTCATCATCTTCTAGTGTAACACAAGATTACAAAGAAAAATAAATTTCCATTCTAAGTATGCAGTACAAGGTGTTGGACACCTCTTTACACACCGATTATTCTCATTAAATTTATCTTACATACTCTCTGTATCACTCTAGTCTGTAAATTCTTCCATGCTACTTCTAATGCAAACTTGTTTCTGTGACACGTCAGGATCTTCATCTGATTCAATGTTAGATGTTGAAAGGGCTTTTTTTGCAAACTTTTTTGCTTTTGTTAAGCTGTCTTTTAAACAGAAGGTATAAAAAATTATTTCAGAGATTTTAACTACACAGCAATGTTATTGTTTTACATTGGATGTCACACATACAAATAAGCTAGAAATACATTGCATGCAGTGACCCCTCGCCAGACCTTAAATCTTAATGCAACAACATCATTTCCGAAAAAGTGTAAAAATCATATTATATTTAACAAAATAAAGTATTGAAATAGAACAAATTTAATATTTACAACATATATAACAGTTAAAATAACAATATAAGGCTACATTGACAGTGATTTCTCATCGGGTAGTCGAATTGTTGAGAACGATATTAAGATTGAAAACAATATTGGCTCATTTTTCACATGCTGATATCTCATTAATTGTTTGATTGAATCGCCTTTTAACCCCTAATGTTAATTTTGCTTGTGTATAGAATGCGTGATGTTGAACGTTAAAAATCAATGATGGTATTGAGATTATGTGTAAACGTAGCACTAAACTTCTCAAACGTGCAGTTGGTAAATTGCATTGAGGGCTTTTGCTGCCCTCTTTTTTGTGTTTTCCTCCGCCCAGTCTGCCGCTGGGTGCACACAACCCTTGTGTGGCCCCGTTGGCCACACAACCAACAAACAGCCCCTATAAGAAAAAAAGTCACTATAAGAAAAAAAAGTCACTATATGAAAAAAAAGTCATTATATATATTATTTTCATACAATGTGATGGCCAGCGTCTTTAGCAATGTTTAAATATTTGATTAGACCTTCTGAATTTCTTCTGTCACACCGGGCAGGGTATGTTTAGCCCTAGAGTCAAGGTTATATGCTTACAACACCACAGCACATTGCAATTGTTCACATGACTATACAATACATGGCAATCCATAAGCTATTAAATACATATGCGATTGGCAGGCGTGAGCATGAT